ATCTGAAGGGAGGACAGAAAGGGTGTGGATCTGGAGGGGAGGACAGAAAGGGTGTGGATCCGGAGGGAGGACAGAAAGGGTGTGGATCCGGAGGGAGGACAGAAAGGGTGTGGATCCGGAGGGAGGACAGAAAGGGTGTGGATCCGGAGGGAGGACAGAAAGGGTGTGGATCCGGAGGGAGGACAGAAAGGGTGTGGATCCGGAGGGAGGACAGAAAGGGTGTGGATCTGGAGGGAGGACAGAAAGGGTGTGGATCTGAAGGGAGGACAGAAAGGGTGTGGATCTGGAGGGAGGACAGAAAGGGTGTGGATCTGGAGGGGAGGACAGAAAGGGTGTGGATCCGGAGGGGAGGAGAGATGGGAAGGCACTGGGAGTAGAAAGAGGGAACCTATAATTAGGATATATGAGAGAAGAATCCATTTTCAATGAAAGGGGTGGGGAGGAAAGAGCGGCTGAGGACTTGGCTCAGCAGTGCTGATTTGCCTGACATAGGAAGTCAGGGTTGGACTGCTGGTACCAGAAGAAAAAAAAGGCAAAAAATAGAAAAGACAACTCCTACTCAACAACAAAAAAGTAATAACTTTATATTTTCTTCATGAGTACTTTAACACTAATAAAAATTAAGAAATTAACTTTATGAGAAAGTATAAATTGGGATCTATATTTACTCTATAATATAAAATCTGTGGGCTTTTCTAAATTTACTTTTTGACTTCAGTCCTTTTCAAAATCCTAAATGGTCACTTTACACGAAGTAACAGGCTGATCTGACTCATACGGAAAAATATATAAGCCAGAATTAGCCATAAAGAAATCTAAACAAGTCAGAACAGCCATGTCACCTTGAGAGGCAACAACATCAGAGAACTTACACGTGACCATTTGAAGATTTAATATGAGCCTACTATAATTAAGTTAGTATTGTGTAGAAGAAAAGATATTTAGATCAATGAAATAGATCTTTAAGTAAACTCTTATACTTGGGCAATTGATTTATCTACAAGGACACAAAGACAATTAATTCAATCGAGAAAGATCAGTAGATAACTAGACAATCACGTGCAAAAACCCATGAAGTTGGATACCCCTCCTCCATCACAAGTATTAATTCAAAACAAACCAGAAAGCTGGGTATAATGGCTCATACTTGAAGACTAAGATAGGAGGATTCCAAGGAGTTTGGGGTCAGCCTAGGACACAGCACATATCTTAAAAAGCAAAAAACCAAAAGCAACAACAACAATCATTTGTACACAATATTCATTGCATCATATCTACAACTAAAATTCAGAAACAACCCAATCCCAGAGAACAAAATATAATAGAATATGATTCTACTATTAAAAGGAATGGAGGATTGGGAATGTAGGTCTGTTGTAGAGTGTACATGCTAAGTGAAAGAAGGCATTCATCAGGTCATATTGTATAATCTACTGATGGGTGGTGTCCAGAACAAACAAATTTACAAGTCAGAAAGTAAGTTAGTGGTTGGTTGCCTCTGGCTGTGGAGTAGAATGGGAATGTGGTAGAGTGACTGATTACACGGATACAAGGTTTCTTTGGGGCATGATGAAAACTAAAGATTGTTCTAGACTAAAGATTGTGGGGGATTGTTGAACAGTTCTATGAATATGATCAACATTACTGAATTACCTACTTAAATGGGAAGATTTTTATGGCACAGGAATTTTCTTTAACATAATCTTATTAATATAACATGAGTTTTGGATACTATTTTATTTTTAATTACGTGTGTGTGAGAGAGAGAGTGTGTGTGTATTTGTAGCGATGTACATCTGAATGCAAGTGCTCTCTACATGACTAACTTTAATTTTCTTGTTAAACAAAATCCAGACTGGAATTTTAAAACTGAAATTAATTTTTTACACTATAGCAAAATATAAACAATGACTACACCAGGAAAGATAATCTCTGGAACAAGTATGAAATGATACAGTCCTACCTCCAAATGAAACAAAACAAATAAAATGGGAGTTTAAGTCTTTGATACTTCAGACACCAAAACCTATACATAGAGCTGCTATAAAGGCATCTAACTACATCTTTCTGACTTACTCAAGAGTCAAAAGGTCTCCCAAAGAAGTCATATACTCAACAAGATGGGGGAAGTCTCTTTTAGAATAATGGAGAATACAACAAGATTTCTGGAAAACGGAGGCAACTGCCAAGTGAGTTGAAATGTATTTAATAAGACATTCATTTAAGACACTTGTAGGAAACAAAAAAAAAGTTGAGTATATGGTATTCTTGGGAAGAAACCCAAGAATATTACATTCTCAGAGTTGGAATAAAAAAAGAGAACAATGAAGCATAGAGGCTCTACTCCAAGGACTAACAGGGAGAATAAGAGTGTTCCCCAAGGGATGGGAGGGGCCCATCCTTGATGAGTCAAGAGTTCAAACAATCCAATGGAAAATATCCATCTGCAACAAGGAGACTACAATCACGGCATGGAAATAATGGACATAGGAAAAACAGTCCAGATAAGAGTAAAGCATGGCATGAGCAAAACGGAGAAGGATTCACACAACAAAGAAACGTGAAAGACAGGAATATTAAAGACTGGGCACAAACTCACAGGACAGCTCCATGCCTTACTTAATTCTGAGACAGACTATTGATGACATGTAGAAGTGTGATGGGAAATACTTAGTCACTTAGCCAAAGTCAGCACTGTGCATGTTCATCTCTTTTAGAAAGAGCTAGACAAATAAATACTCTCCTTCATCCTTGTCTATGTCCAACTACCCATTTTGCAATTTTATCTTTGTGTGTGTGTTGAGAGACAGTCTCATGTAGCCCAGGCTGGCCTCATACCCCATTCTCTTGCTTCTACTTCCTCAGTGTCAGGATTACAAATTACAGCACCACACCCAGTTTATGCAGTGTTGGGGATTGAACCCAGGGTTTCTTACATGACAGGCAAGCTTCTAAAAACTAAGCTATATCCTCATCAATATTCTGCAAATGTTTAAAGAGGCAAAAGCTTTTTTCATACTTTAATGTAATATCTATAAGCAAAAGAAATATACACTTACAATTTTAATTTTTAAACATTTAGAATCATAAAGAAGTTATTTGTATTAATCTGTTAAGATTACTTAATATCATCCTACTATTCCTAAAGAAGCTTGTTAGAGTTAGATGCAGATATATAAATGTATGCTGTAGGTCTACCTACAAAAAAATGCACTGAAAGGGTTGGGGATGTAGCTCAGTAGTGGAATATTCTCGTTTATCGTGCACACACTCTTGGGCTTAATCCAGAGGTTCTCAACATGTAGGCTGTGACCCTTTGGGGTCAAATAACCTTTTCACAGGGGTTGCCTAAAACCATCAGAGGCTGGGCGGTGGTGGCACATGCTTTTAATCCCGGCACTTGTGAGGCAGAGGCAGGTGGATCTCTGTGAGTTTGAGACCAGCCTGGTCTACAAGAGCTAATGCTAGGTCAGCTAAGGCTGTTACACAGAAAAATTCTGTCTGAGGGGGAGCTGGGAACAGAAAAAAAAAAGACCATCAGAAAACATATTTACATTATGATTCAAAACAGTAGTAAAATCACAGTTATGAAGTTGCAACAAAAATAATTTTATGGCTGGGATCACCATAACATGTATTAAAGGGTCACAGCATTAGGAAAGTTGAGAACCACTGGCTTAATCTCTGGCACTGCAAAAAAAAGAACGCACTTAAACAACTCCCAATGAGATATGGTGGCTCACACCTGTAATCCCAGCACTCTGGGAGGCTGAAGCAGGAGGATTACACATGGGATAGGTCAGCCTCAGCTAGTTCCAGGCCAGTCTAGACTAGCAAGACACTACCTTAAAAAACAAAATACAAAAAACAAAGAACAAAGCCGGGCAGTGGTGGCACACACCAGAACTCAGGAGGCAGAGGCAGGTGGATCTCTGTGAGTTCGAGGCCAGCCTGGTCTACAAGAGCTAGTTCCAGAACAGGAACCAAAAGCTATGGAGAAACCCTGTCTTGAAAATTAAAAAAAAATATATTTTTAATTATGTATTTGGGGGGCGTGATATGTACAAGTGAGTGCAGTTCCCCTCAGAGGCCAGAAGAGGGCGGTGAAGTCTTTGGAGCTAGAGCTACAGGAAGTTGTCAGTTGTACAACATGGGTACTGAGAACTGAATACAGGTCCTCTGGAACAGCAGGAAGAAGTCTTAACCACTGAACCATCTCTCCAGCCTTTAGTAACTTCTATGATATAGCCTTCATACAAGCTAAGTCATCTTGCAGAACTTCCTATCTAGTTGGACTTTAAAGTGAAAGTCTACTACCTGTCCTTAGTCCCCATTTCCTATTTCTTCATGTATGCCCCACTTCTAAGTTATTTATGCTAGCCACTACTTCTTGAGATGTAACTTTAGCTGGTAAACTTTTCACGCTGAAAAGTAAAGTTTAATCTAAGCCACATCTTCATGTATTGGTTGTTCTTGCTAACTGATTAAGGAAGATGAATATAAGGGCATGAATGAATTATATACTACAATATGAAAGAGTTAAAACTAGAAAAATTTCCTCAAAGTTACCATAGGAAACATTAACAAACAAAATTATGATGTATTAAGGAAGACAGCTAAGGAAGGGTATCTTTTAAAAAGCATGAATTATTTTATGGAATTTTACTCTAAAGACTTTGACAAGTTAGGGAAGAATATTTTTTTGTCATAGCTTACACTGCAATAAATTAGAGGTTTTAAATTTGCTTCAACAACTTGTAGTGTGAAGTAATGTTATACAAAGTCTCTGTGTAATAAAACCTCACTAATGAATAATTAAGACAAAAATCTCACTGGATAAGCTGATAAAAATGTGTCTAAACCACCCAGCAATTTTTAAGGCTGACAGTATATATCTTTAAAGGCTGCTGATTATGTACATCTAAAAACAATTTTCTCCGTGGGTATCCATTATAAAAAGAACCCAAAGCTGCTGAATGACAACATATGATCAGACTCACCTTTCTTCTCTCCAGTGTAGGGCACATAGTCTTCCCGGTCTTTATGCTCCAATGCTTCCTTCTCTAGATAAGAAAGGAGACGTTCTCTATCGAAGGGCCCTGTGGCAGACTTTGATGTCTGGTTCTTTTGCCGAAACCCTGCAGGCAGAAGGGCATTCTGCCAAAGAGAATACGTCAGCCATTACGATCAGCAAACCACCAAGAACGCCAACACCACATGCCCCTATAGATTTCCATGTAAGAAAGATCAAGAAACTAGCATGACATAGGCATGGAACCCTCCTTGCAGGACTTTGGGATAGTTATGTGAGATGCATCACAAAAAGTTTTGTTTATTTAAAATGGATCTATTGATTTTGGGTGTGGGGGAGTCTATGTGCTATGGCACGTATATAGAGATCAGAGGACAACTTTTGGGAGTTGGTCCCCTCTTTCCACTGGAATCAACATAGGTTGTCAGACTCACTGGTAACTACCTATACTGCTGCCCCATCTGACTGGCCCACAAGCAATTTTTTTTTTTTTTTTTGAGACAGGGTTTCTCTGTAGTCCTGGCTGTTCTGGAACTCGCTCTATAGGCCACACTGACCTTGAACTCACAAGATCTGCCTGCCTCTTCCTCTCAAAATGCATGTGCCACTACTGCCTGGCAAGTCTTAATTTTTTTTAAGTAGGTAGAATTTACTTATATTACTATTAAAAATAGGCAAGTACATATTTTCTTCAGATAGTATCCCACTTAGAGGAAACATCCATTAGCATGTTGTTTTTTTGAAACAAGCTCTTGATATATCACCATGATTGGCTTGGAATTCACAGTGTGTTTCATGCTGGCCACAAACCTGCCATGATCTTTCTTGCTGCATCCTTCCAAGTACTGGGATTATAGAAAGGGGCCATTTTGCCTAACTTCACCCTTTAATTTTTAAGTATCCATGAATTATTATTTTTACAGGGATGGTTTTTAAATTTATGTTGACATTTATACTTGAGTTAATATTTTTATTTTTCTCCGAGGACTATTAAGGAAAAGCTTTCCTGGCTTGGCCTCGTAGCACATGCCTGTGTTCTAGCTCTTGGGGAGCTGAAGCAGGACAATAGAAGGGTCAATGTCCAAACAACAGCAAAGATAATTTTCTTAATTCTTAATAAATGACCAGTAAATATGTATGATGTGGGAGTGTCATATATCAATCTGTTGATTTCATTGGTTAAGTAATAAACAAACTGCTTGGGCTCATAGCTTAGAACATAGGTGGGAGGAGTAAACAGAACAGAACACTGGGAGGAAGAGGAAGTGAGCTCAGACTCCACAGCTCTCCTCTTGGAAGCAGACGCCTGAGAGAGACGCCATGCCCCGCTCCCGGGCAGACACACGCCATGAAGCTCCGACTCAGGATGGACTAGGCTAGAATCTTCCCAGTAAGACCGGTTCTCACAGATTATTAGAGATGGGTTGATCGGGATATCAGAATTAGCCAGTAAGGGCTAGAGCTTAAAGGGCCAAGCAGTGTTTAAATGAATACAGTTTGTGTGTTGTTATTTCTGGGCATAAGCTAGCCGAGCAGGCGGCCGGGGTGCTGGGAACGCAGCCCCGCCGCCCTTATTACTACATATGTACATAAACTAAACTAATTCTATCACAAAAGAACTGCAAAGTACTATGTGTTATTCCTTCTAATGACTTCCATTTGATCACAGAGCTCTTATCCAGATAAAAAACATACACAGTCCAACATCAAGGCTGTTTAGTTGATTAAAATCTAGCATATTTCATTGTGTATGTGTCCATATGTAGACAGGAACATTAGTGTATGCTAGTTACAATTACTGTCATTGCTATGCGTGCCTAATGGCACCCTGAATCCTCTTCTGCCCACATAGCACAGCCTTGAACACATGCGTTGACTAGAAGTAGAAAGGGGAGGAATGGTTGAAGTTGAATTTGTATTAAGGCCAGGAATAATAGAGAGACAAGAAAGACAAAGTGAGCATCATCCTGCTTGTCAAAGGTCAGCCTCAACCAGGTATGGGGGTGCATGTCTGTACTCTCAGAACTTGGTGGGAGAGACAGGAGGATCAGAAGGCCAAGTCAGGCCATTCTGGGTTATAAGAGATCCTGTCTTAAAAAAGACAAGACGGGCTGCCTTGCTTCATACTCCTGAGTATACCTTGCTCTACAATTGAGGCAGCCAGAGAAGGCAACATCTATTATTAACGGTGATACTCAACCTCACAGTTAGTATACATTTTCAAAAGGTGATTTTCCTATGGAGAATAATAGGAAATGATTACTTCATAACTAAAAATAACATGTTTACACTTGGACCATTTCCTGAACTCCACAACAGTTTTCATAAAATCTGTAATATAGTGATACTCATTACTTAGGAAGCTGATCTACAAGGGTGAACCTCAAAGATCTGTTCCTAACCCTGAATATTGTGTGTATTTACAATGAAAAAACTGTCTGTGGAACTATAAAGAACAAACATGAGATTTCTACCTTTGGATGTTGAAATCTGAGAATGACAAAGAACCCTCTCAGCCTGCAAGTCTATGCAGTTTTAGTTCCTAAAGATGGCAGTCATCACCTCCCCATCTCCAGTGCCATGACTTGGGTGCAAGCTCACTCTAATGTAACTGGCCTCAGGGCATCAGGTGCCCGGTCACATCCTTCCTTCACATCCCTAAACCTGTCAGCCCAGGTTCAGCTCACACCCCCACTCTTGATACACTGGATTATTTCCTTCCTTGTTCTTGTCATACATTTCCTTCACCCATGACCTCAAATATGTGAAGTATGGAGATCACTTCCCCTGAAGGTTCTGCCCATCCTTTCCAGTCACCATTCCTAAGACTTCAGTATATGCCACCAAGAAACATTTTTCCTCATGTCTCATTCATAAATTACTGTCTGTGGTACCCATCATTCTTTTAACATAGTTTTATTATCTGATTCAAGTCTTGTTTTCCCCATTCCTACTAGCCTGCATCCTGGGGGCAAAAATTACATTGGGTTTGTTCACTCTTGCATTTCCTGAGAGTAGGGTACTAACCAGGAACTGCAGGTTGTCCCCCAAACTGAATAAAGGTTTCAGAGCTGGGGAATGAAGCTTAGTAAAGAGCACACACCCTAGTGTAGGGAGCGGAGGAAGTCCTAAGTGAGGGAAGTCTTGAGTGAATGTGGGTTGTTGACATAGCCATGGTCATGTCAAGGACCCCATAGTCTTAGACCCAGGGAGAAAATAGTGAGCCCTTCTTCTTGGGAGTGGGGCTCAGAAGGAAATGGCGAAACCTTCCCTTCTGGGTCATGTGTAGATGTAGACAGGATGTGCAAAAATGTCCACCATAGTTTTTTCTCCCTAGATATTCACAGCCTGAAGACTGCTTCCCAATGGAGATTGCTCCTGAGGCAAGGGGCTGTTAAACACAGGACAGGCCCACACAAAAGTCATTGGCCCAGCTGAAAACGTCAGGCTAGACAGTCTCTTACATGCTTTCTAGTTCTTAAACCATTTGATTTAAATTGGCCTCACTGACTTACATGCTTTCGAGTTCTTAAACCATTTGATTTAAATTGGTCTCATTGACTAACTGCCAAATATATTGCTGACAGCTCTGTTCTCCTGAGTAATCCCTCAGACTTAGGTATGAGGAGTTTTCCTTGTAATAGTAATTATTCAAAGGACTTGCCCTATGGTATGGACACACCACTTAGCAACAAGAACAATTTTATAAAGCACATTTTAGGATGCTTTAGGCCCTAATATCCAGTACCTCTCCTCTCCCTAAAAGCTCACATACCTCAATTATTAAAGGGCATACAAAACCACGGCCTTTTAAGAAATAAGGTAGGTAAAGTGTGGCAAATAACCACTACCTTGTGGTTCTTCCTGCTACCCGCAGGATGTCCTTCTTGAATGACACTTCAAAGGTAAAGGATTCCACATTAGCTTTGTGTAGCATATAAGACAAGTAACAACCACTTGGCAAATACAGACAAGTGTACATCTACAATGTCTCTGACTTAATAACGGTTCAACTCTAAGATGGTATAGAAGTGCACCCACAAAATCATTTCAATTTTCATTTTCAGTATAGCATACAACTTACATGATATATTCAATACTTTATTAAAAATTAGGCTTTACATTAGATGATTTTGTCCAAATATAGGCTTATTTAAGTGTTCTGAGCACATTTAAGAGAGGCTAGACAAAGTTATCCAAAGCTGGCTAGGGATATTAAATGCACTTTAATGTATAATATTTGCAACCTAGGATGTGTTTATCAGGCAGATAAGAACATTGTTAAGAGGCTGGGCGATGGTGGCGCACGCCTTTAATCCCAGCACTCGGGAGGCAGAGGCAGGTGGATCTCTGTGAGTTAGAGACCAGCCTGGTCTACAGAGCTAGTTCCAGGACAGGCTCCAAAGCCACAGAGAAACCCTGTCTCAAAAAACCAAAAAAAAAAAAAAAAAAAAAAAAGAACATTGTTAAGAAACATCTGTGTTCAGATCTACATTTTCCAATGCTAAAAAATTTATACCACTTGGTCAACATTTCTCAAGAACCATTGTAATCAGGTTTAAACCATTAAGAAAATTTTAGAGGCACAGTATACTACCACCAGCTTTGTACAGAAACTCTGAAGAGAAACAGATTATTATAGACTAAAGAGCTAGTTAGCTATTACTACTTTCAATTGCACAGAGGCAAGATTGTAATAAAGAAAAAAAATTGTGTAAATGTTTAATGATAGTTTAGAATGTCTGTGTCATAAGACATGGAGGGAGATGTGGGGACCTGAAGAAGAAAAATGCCAGTTCATTTGGATAGAAGGTGAGTGAAGGGTACAGGGCGAGCCACGAGAAAGCAAACTGGCAGTCTGAAAAGCTATTGCATTTCTCTTCTCCGGCTAGCACCAACCTCGGGGTCGAGATCATCCAGGACAGTTTCAAGCTGTTTCAGCTCTGTTTCTGACAGATTGCCAAGGAGCTCATCTTCATCCAGGTCCTTATACTCCCCTAAGTCCTTCCGGAACGGTAGTGCCATGGCTCGCACCGTAGGAAGTCACGTGATTGGTCTACTTCTTATAGCTGTGGAGGGAAGAAACAACCATTTAAACGTAAGTTTAATCTAGTTGCGTCTATTGTTGGGGAAAGGGAAATGCCATGTCCATCGTCATACGTTCTTCATCCCTTCAGATAATTCATCACTACTCTTCCCTTCAGATAATTCACCACTACTCTTCCCTTCAGATAATTCATCACTACTCTTCCCTTCAGATAATTCATGCCTTCACTAGTTTGTCTCTGTAGAGAAATAATCAATGGAAATGGGAAGTATGAAAATCATTAAATAATTACTTAATAGAATTACAATTTCTGATAACCGATTTTCAGTGGCAATAGGAAATAATTTTTGCCAGAAATAATTTCTATCAGTGATGTCAAATTATCCTAATGGATAACATTTGTTTTACTACAAACTGTTTAGGAGAGCAGTGGGACACAATATCAACATAAGAAAATAGCAACATGTACCTAATGGGAAGGAGTAGTCTCTTGTTTCTGGGAAATTTTTTATTTTAAATGTGTTTTCAAAAAGATTATTTTAGGAGCTGGAAAGGATGGCTCAGCAGTTAAGAATACTTCCTGTAGAGGGTTTGTGCTCAGTTCCCAGCATCCACATGAGGTGGCTCAAAACTGCCTGTGCTCCAGAGGACCTGGTACTCTCTTCTGGCCTCCAAGGGACATGGCACACATGTGATACACATACATAATACAGATACTCACAGGCACACAGAAAATAAAAACAAAGGAATCTTCTTAAAACATATTTTAAAAGGAAAATATTATTTTGTTATTATTAGACTGTTTCTTTAAGACTTTCTTCTTTCTTTCTTCCCTTCCTTCTTTCCTTCCTTCCTTTCTTTTTTATTTTTTTAAGATAAAGTCTCACAATACAGCCCAGGCTAACCAGGAACTCACTACATAGAACAAGCTAGCCTTGAAATCAAGGTGAACCTTCTGCATTGGCCTCCTGAGTACTTCTTTAATCCCAGCACTCGGGAGGCAGAGGCAGGCGAATTTCTGAGTTTGAGGTCAGCCTGGTCTACAAGAGCTAGTTCCAGGACAAAGATACAGAGAAACCCTTTCTCGAAAAAATAAACAAACCAACAAATTCTTTCTTTTTAAATTGATCTTTATTGAACTCTAAATTTTTCTCTGCTCCCCTGCTTGCCTCTCCCCTCCCCTTCAACCCTTTCCCATGGTCTTCATGCTCCCAATTTACTCAAGAGATCTTGTCTTTTTCTACTTCCCATGTAGATTAGATACATGTACTCCTCTCTTAGGGCCCTCATTGTTGTCTAGGTTCTCTAGGATTGTGATTTGTAGGCTGGTTTTCTTTGCTTTATGTTTAAAAGCCACTTATGGGGGCTGGAGAGATGGCTCAGCGGTTAAGAGCACTGGCTGCTCTTCCAGAGGTCCTGAGTTCAATTCCCAGTAACCACATGGTGGCTCACAGTCATCTATAATGAGATCTGGTGCCCTCTTCTGGCCTGCAGGCACACATGGAAGGAATGTTGTATACATAATAAATAAATACATTTAAAAACCACTTATGAGTGAGTACATGTGATAACTGTCTTTCTGGGTCTGGGTTACCTCACTCAAGATGATGTTTTATAGATCCATCCATTTACCTGCAAGTTTCAAGATGTCATTATTTTTTTTTTCTGCTATGTAGTACTCCACTGTATAAATATACCATATTTTCCTTATCCATTCTTCAGTTGAGGGGCATTTAGGTTCTTTCCAGATTCTGGCTATGACAAACAACGCTGCTATGAATATAGTTGAGTACATGTCCTTGTGTGCACAATTGAGTAGCCTTTGAATATATACCCAAAACTGGTATATAACCTCCTGAAACTGAAAAGCGTCTGAAAAGCAAAGGACACAGTCAACAAGATAAAACGACAGCCTACAGAATGGGAAAAGATCTTCACCAACCCCACATCAGACAGAGGTCTGATCTCCAAAATATACAAAGAACTCAAGAAAATAGTCACCAAAAGAAAAAATAATCCAATAAAAAAAAATGGAGTACAGACCTAAACGGAGAACTCTCAACAGAGGAATCTAAAATGGCTGAAAGACACTTAAGAAAATGCTCAACATCCTTAGTCATCAGAGAAAAGCATATCAAAACAACTCTGAGATCCCATCTTATACCTGTAAGAATGGCCAATATCAAGAACACAGATGACAGTTTATACTGGAGAGGATGTGGGGTAAAGGGAACACTCCTCCCTTGCTGGTGGGAGTGCAAACTACTTTGGAAATCAGTATGGCGATTTCACAGAAAATTAGGAAACAACCTTTCTCAAGACCCAGCAATACCTCTTTTGGGCATATACCGAAAGGATGCTCAATCGTGCCACAAGGACATGTGATCAACTATGTTCATAGAAGCATTATTTGTTGTAGCCAAAACCTGGACAATCTAAATACCCCTTGACCGAAGAATGGATAAAGAAAATGTGGTACATTTACACAACGGAGTACTACACAGTGGAAAAAAATAATGACATCTTGATATTTGCAGGCAAATGGATGGATCTATAAAACAGACCCAGAAAGACAAATATAATATGTAGTCACTCATAAGTGGCTTTTAGACATTAGACAAAGAAAACCAGCCAACAACTCATAATCCCAGAGAACCTAGACAACAAAGAGGACCCTAAGGGAGACATACATGGATCTAATCTACATGAGAAGTAGAAAAAGACAAGATCTCCTGAGTAAATTGGGAGTGCGAGCATCATGGGAGAAGGTAATTCTGACAAAAAAAATAAAATAAAATGAACACCCACAAACACACTGAGCACTGAGACATTCCCAGTACCTCAGTCACCTTAGATGTATCTCTCCTCCAAAGGAGATAGTTAGTATACTGAATTATCAATGATTTTTTTTGCTCCCTAGAGTTTACATGTATAAATCCTTAGCAGTTTTTGGTTTTCCCTTATATTACACCTTATATAAATAAATCCTCTTAGGATTGACTTTCTTTTTTTCATTTACCACTGTTTGGGGTTGATGCTTAGAGTTATATTTATTTCAATCTCATGTCAACATACTATTCCTTCCTCTGAACATCTAAGCTCCTAGCAGCTTCTCCCTCTATTTCTTTGTTATGATAAATAATCTACTTATTTCCTGGTACAGATGTACAATTCCTCTTTGGCTCAAATCTAGGAATGAAATTGCTGGGGAAAGGGAATGCTTGCTTATTGTGGTGGTTTGAAAAAAAAAAGGCCACCCAAAGGAGTGGCAGTACTAGGAGGTGTGTCCTTATTGGAGTAGGTATGATCTTGTTGGAGAAAGTGTGTCACTGTGGAGGTCTCATACATGCTCAAGCCATGTTCAGTGTGACAGACCATTTCCCAATGCCTGCAGGTAATGTAGAATTCTCAGTTCCTTCTCCAGCACCATGTCTGCCTGTACACCACCATGTCCCACCATGATGATAATGGATCGAACCTCTGAACTGTAAGCCCCCCAATTAAATGTTTTCTTTTATAAGAGTTGCCATGGTCATCGTGTCTCTTCACAATAGAAACCCTAACTAAGACACTTATACTTACTCCACTTTATTAGGTAATATTAAACTATGTTCAAAGTGACTATGCCAATTTACATTTCTAAAAGATTCCATACATGACAATTCATGTTGTTCCTCTTCTTTGTTTATGTTTAGTATGATCAGAACTTTAATTTTTGGCATTCTGGAATATGTGAAATGGTATTTCACTATGGCTTTAATGTACATTTTGTTAAATTATGACAAGGTTATGCATTGTTTTACATGTTCATTTACCAATGGCATTTCTAATTCTTTGGATAACCTATTGCTCATTTTTACAAAGCACATCACCTTTCCTGTGTGTGGTATCTGAACTTGTTAGTATGGATGCAAACCTATTTGCAGGTATGCATGCACATGCATGTCAAGGCCAAAGGTTGATGTGGGGTATGTTTCCATCTTTTTATTTATGGGACAGTCTCAAAACAAAACAAAACCTGGACCCTACTGAAGTTCAATAATTCACCTACACTGGCTGGCCAATGAGCTTCAGGGATACATCTGTCTTTCCATTGCCAAGCAGTGGGTGTAGGAGGATATTTACAGGCACTCGCCACAATCCCACCTTTTTCTGTGTTCTAGGAATCTGAACTCAGATCTTCATGCTGCGATGGGGCAGGCACTTTACCTTCTCAGCCACCTCCCTAGTCTAGTGGCCTAATTTTTTTTTTAAAAGAAGTCTTTAATTTAGCTAGATATTAATCTTTGTTATCAAGTTAAATTTAATGACTTTCGTTTTCTATATTCTGATCAATTTTCCATCCCCCATCTCATTCCAGTTCTTCTCCATCCATCCAACTCCACACCAGCTTCCTCTCTTTAGAAAACAAATGAGCAAATAAAAAAGCAAACAAACTAGAAAGATGATAATGAAGGGGAAAAAGCAGTAGGGCAATGGTGGCGCACGCCTTTAATCAAAGCACTCAGGAAGCAGAGGCAGGCAAGGCCTTGGTCTACAGAACTAGTTCCAGGACAGCCAGGGCTACACAGAAACACCCCCATCTTGTGGGGGTGGTGGTGGGAACAAATCAAAACCAAAAACCAAACCAAACAAAACCAAAAAAAAAAAAAAAACAAAAAAGAGGAAAAAACACAAGAAACACTCTCACACACAAAACCCATAAAAACACAAAATCAGGAACTAACGCATACAAGCAAAAGACCAGCAATATTGAAACAAAACAAACAAAAATATCCAAACAAAGCAACATGAGATAAAACAAAAAAAGAAAAAAACAATAAAAATCCAAAAAAACGCCACTGAGTTCATTTTGTTTTGGTCTTCCACTCCTTGGCCCAGAGTCTACCCTCAAGTGTGGTTTGTGTACCCAGTGAAACTCCATTGTAGAAAACTGGTTTTTCCTTTGCAAGTGGTTGTCAATTTGGAGACAGCTTCTTATTAGTTAGGAACGAGAGCTTCTGTCCACTTCTCCCTCTTAGC